ATAGAGCAAATCTCCGAAGGTGGGAGTATAGTTTGACTCGAAACATAACAGTCCATCCATGTAAAGTTTGATATGTTTAAAATCGAGCAGATAAAAAGCACCAGGGTAGGGAAAGCACACCGCAACCATATACAAATAATCAGGGGAAAGCAAGCAAGAAAGCACTGACCCTTTTCATACCTGATCACTCGTTGACGATCGCCGCAGTAAATGAAGAGGAAGATCCATCGCTTACACGTTTGAAGAAGTTTGCGACGGAACGTTGACGAAGTCATACAGAACAGCACCACATTGAGCATTTTTCCCGTCAGGACTAACTGGTTTGCAACAATCGATACAGTTCGTAGAATGGTGCTGGAAGGGAACAATATATTCATTGCAGAAGCTGACAATGAGGAAGACTAAGGCACTTGTGCGGCCCATGCAGCTTTCAAGCATTTTCCATTGTCGATATCGTCGCAATCAGTCGGGGCGGTATCCAGAGGCATGGAATGAGCCCACCCGTGGCACTTCACCACTGGTTGTTTCTTTTCCAATCCACCACTCACCGATCACTATTGGTAGAATAGACAAGCTCATTTCACCCTTCCTATGTTATACGACCCCTACTGATTTCGAAGATATCATTTATGGGTCTGGGAGATAGGATATGTAATAAACGTGATCTACCACAAGTGGCCTCAGAAGCGTGCTTGGGTACACCAGAAGCGCGTTCAGTCTCAGGGCCCGTCGACGAGATCATACAGGAGCCGCTGGGAGATATTTCTGGAAATACGACGATTCCTCCCAACTTTCCCTTGTCCTATCATCTTGCTCACCTCACGGACTTTTCCTTACTTGCTGTCACTTTCCCAAAAATGTTCCAGATTCCCCCATAAAACACTGCTGTCGAGCAGGGAGGTTGCACATATGAAACGGAAATACCCGGAAAGGTCAACAACCGAAAAACTCTTCCAGAAGGCGAATTCAACCGCCCCCATTGGCTCTCTCTCTCATGTAAATAGGTGGACGAGTGAAACGGGAAACAACCAGAAATAAGAGAAATTTTCTCAGGCCAAATACGACCCCCCACCCGTCTCACCGACCAAATACGACTCTCTCCGCTGGTGACTTCCTCAATGTTGTAACGTGCTAAAATGCGCCTTTTGAAACACCCGTCTTGTGGTTTCTCCGATTGTTCAATCTCAGCGCTCGACTCCTTTCACAATTGACAGTAAACCTTACTTTGCAAATTCCCGTAACGAGCTCGCATGGGTGTGGCTAGGCTACTCTATTGTGAACATGGGGTGACGATGAGCCAATTTTCCGACTTTCAGTTTGAGACAACTGCATCATCCGTCTCAGTGAAGAAAACACAATACAACTGCCCCAAAACGGTCAATGTCTCAGCAAGAACGCAGTCTCCTTCTTCAGTTTCAAAGAAGCACGCAGCGTACGAACTAAAACGCGCATCTCTGCGGATTTGAAGTATATACGCAGCCTTGCGACGTGCAAATCAAAGTGGACCATTAGGTCAGCATAATTCAGGTTTCGGGGAGCTGGCCTATCAAAGCTGCAATCGCTTTTGGGAAACCTACCTTGCTGACGGATAGAGTAGCTGATAGATGAATACCAGCGCTGAGGGCCCTTGGGTCAACGAGAAGCATGTGACTATAGCTAGTACGGTATGCGTCATTTTCCTCTCCTGATCATGTCTTGCCGATGGATTGTTGTTCACAGCCTGGTGAACTAGCACTCCTTAAATTGTTACAGTTCAGATTCATTACATGTTACTGTCAGTTGTTATATTTATATTTAAATCATGGGAGTCAAACGATCCCACAACTGTACTCTAGCCATCCACTTAACTTTGAATAGCTTCCGAGCTACAGCTCGTCATATTTAAACCTTTTACGAAATTTTTTCTTCCAAAAATAAATGGAGCTCTTTTTGAAGACTGATCATATTGCAAAGTATTTCATCCCAGACGGGGCACATCATTATTGGAGATCACCGAGTTCATGGGACAGGTTTTTTTCCAAAGCACTTGTTGATGCTGGGAGAAATTTCCCAGAAATATGACCTTCTCCCCTTATAGCGTCCGTGAAACAAGAAAATCAACTATCAAAAAATTTTCTCAGACCAAATACGACACCCCTCTCCCTCGCGACCAAATACGACCCTTCCGCTGAGGATTCCCCAACGTACTAAGTGCCCTGCTTCAGTAATTTCGCCCCTGGTGAGGTCAGTAATTCCTTGCAAAACCACAAAATAAGCTCATTCATGTAAAAATGTTAAGGATAAATTTCAACATGAGTTTACAGGTCTCCCGTAGAGGAATTTCAGGAACTTGTAGGGCCGCCTGCATGCATTCCAACTCGAGCGATTCCGGGTTCGCGCGGCCCCACCGCGAGGTACGAATTCGGTAGGGTAAAGCATCACGTTGAGGAAAACTGATCCCTGGGTACGACCCCTCTAAAAGTGGTGTCAGTACGAAGGTAGAAGGACCTCGTGCAGTTGGCATTTCAGCTGCGTTGCGTGACAGCATTGAATAGTGAATACTTCAGTGGTTATTACCTTGAAGCCTTCCCGAAGAAATGTGACTTCCTTCAAAAGCAACATCTTGCAGAGCGATGGAAAGCTACGAGCTCCGCGCTCCCAATGACTCTTTTGAGTACGACCACCCCCCCCCCTCCCCTCCCACGGTGTTCCTTACTTGACGGATGCTTGACCTTGGTCTAAAAGCTTTGCACACGGGCCTTCATACTATCATATCCTTCCATTATCAGGAGACGATCAGGGATTGATCATTGCAGTGATGAAAACCAAATCTCCTTCACGAAACACTGCACACATTACTCGCAAAAGTGGGCAAGGTGTGTCCGGCGGTTTCGAGGTTCAGAATCCGTTGAATTTCGTGAGATCTCTTATATCCAAGATGCCGCTATTTAGGGATCAATTCACTTCGAGTTCCCAGAATACTTTGCATTCTGATGCGATACCTTTTTGGGCGCGGAGAGTTCATTCTCAGTAGCATCAACTCAGGACGAGTGGAGAGATAGAGTCGACACGCAGCCTCGTTAAGACCTAGTGCGGACATGTGCCTCACCTCGTTTGCAACGTTCCCTTACCGTGACTGGGAAGTCCTTTTTGAGCCCTCATATGCAATTTTCTTTCATTCGTACCCACATTCGCTTTCTTCGTGAAACATACCTGAGTATTCCTCTTTTTCAGCAGACGAACAAGCGAAATGTTGAGCACAGCAACAGCGAATACAGGCAATAGCACAGCGAATACAGCATTCAAGATTACAGACATCTCGATCCATTGCCTCGTGAGCGCCGACGTGGGATTTGGGCGTGATCCCCAGCTGGGAAGCGCATTTGAGTAGCAGCCGCCGATCAGTTGAGTGCCCGAACATACAGAA